TCAGGGAAATATTCAGAGAGATATCCACCTTGAAAGTAGCCCATGTTGAACTACAGCACTGTCAGACCTCAGCACTTGACCACAGGAAATGTTTCATGACATTTTTGTCTTATTCTATAACATGCTTTGTGATCGTTTTTTAGTCACAAAATGTTTTGTAAAAATTTGCCAAATTTCAATTCCATGGGTCTCATGATTTTGGATGCATTCTGCAAGCCAGCTCACTTGAGGCACCTTGGTTGGAAACGTTTTGCCCTATGATGCGCCATTTCACCCAGTTAAAGATTACAGATACAAGAGTTTTAGTAGTATAATGATAAATGCTTATGTCGATAAATGCTTTTGGCCATGCTGTGCTCAGGCAAAAACTCTGTAGGCTCAAAATCTCTACAAGTTTTTCCAGTAATTATGCCCGGATAGCCTTTAATCTGAGGTTGCCTACATTGCTTTTTAAATTTAGCATTACCTTAGTTAGCCCCATTTTCAAATTTTAGTTCTTTTGACCATCCCCTTTTCGTTTTTTGTTATTTTTACTTTTTCTGTGAGGATTTATCTCTGCTCCATAAGCTTGCAACAATTAGCTCAGACTAATAGCAAAAGCTATTTATCCTTTCTCTGGCAGCCTGCAAGGAGGGGAAAGAGGAAGGGCATAAAAGTGTCAAGAACAACGAATGGGGTGTCAAGAGGGGTGCGGGGAGAAAGTGGCTTTCTTCAGATGCATCCACTATTGAAATACATTGAAATTGTAAGTATCAAAAAGAAACATTGAAATAATGCGTGTCATATATTACCGCCACTGGAGAAGAAAAATGCCTCTCCTGACTGGAATGAAACATGCTGGAACTTGATTAAACCTAGCACATTTTTTTTTTAAAAAAAGGGTATATAAGCTACCTCAGCAATTCAAGATGAACTGTCCATGTTTTTATGAGGCTACAAAGAAGAATAAGTACACATAGCCTCTGTTGCAATAACGACCATCCTATTTCTATCTGGGTATAGTTCAAGGTTAATGAAAAAAAAATGCAGATTTTGCACAACTCTGCAAGTTTTCCCCTATTCTCTTGTCTCCACTGACATCAATATAATGTTCTTAGAGATTAAATCAAAAAGTTTCTGAGGGAGGGCCTCCTCATCCATGAACTTGTTTTTGTGCACTGATTGCCCGGTCATCCCTCAATGTCCAACCTTGCAAATGTTTCAAAAGCTTTTACAAGTTCCTTCCTGTACCACTCCTTTATATAAAGTTAACTACAGGTTGGTCTGGAATAGATTTACGTTGCTGAGAGAGTGAGAGAGATTCTGCATTTCTTCAGAAAGAACTTGATGGAAACTTATGTCAAACTGAATACCCGTGGGCCTAGCACTCCCATTCGTATCAGAGCAAAATTCGGAACAACATGAAGTTGCATACAAGCAGAGGAAAAGGTTCATAGAGGCTTTCCCTGGGGTGCTTCCCTTTCCCCACCTAGAGTGCTTCTGTTTGTGAGAGAGTATTGTCTCCTGTTCTCTATTGACTCACACAACTTGTTTCAGCTGTTTGGATTTCCTGAAGAAGTATTTGGGCCAGACCAAATCATTCTTAAAACACTTCAATCCATTTTAGTCATATGGTCTATAGCAGGGGTGGGCAAACTTTTTGGCTCGGGGGCCGCATTGACTTTTTAAAATTTGACAGACGGGCCGGGTCAGCACAAGATTTTTTGGGAATTGCCCCCCCCCACCCTTCCCCCCCTCTTCTCCTCCTTCCCCTCCCCTCGGAGGCCTCCTGAGTCAGGAGTTGCTACCGCTGGCGCGGCTCCACGCGGCTCCAGTCCCGCGTTGCCTTGGGAAGGGAAAGGCAAAAAGGAAGAGCCGCGGCGGTGCTTTGCAATGGGAGCAGCGGCACCAGAGGCTCAGGCTCAGCGGCTCCTGGTTTTGCCTTTTCCTTCCCAAGGCAACGCAGGACTGGAGCCGCACAGAGCTGCGCCGGCGGTAGCAACTCCTGACAGCCCCAGCCAGACACCTGAGCGGAGCCCGGGCGAAACTGCCTGTTGCTGCTGCCGGAGCACCGCCGGGTCGCCTCCTCCAAGCAGCCTGCCCGCCCACTGGGCTTCCCCTCTGACGCGAGGCTCGGGGCCAGGCGCGAGCGCCCGCAAGTTAAAAGGAAGCCGGAAGTTGCTGGGAAGTTGCTCGGGTGCTGGGAGCAGGCTTTTAAAGTGCCGCCCGAGCAAAGTTTAAGCAGCCCGCCCGCCCGCTGGGCGGAATCCTTCCTGCTCCTCGGCGGGAAGACGCTCCAGCCTGCAAACTTTGCCTTTGCAAAGTTTAAGCCTGGAAGCCCGGGAAACCCAAGCAACTTCCCAGCAACTTTCGGCTTCCTTTTAACTCGCAGGTGCTCGTGCCTGGCGGAGGGGAAGCCCGGAGCCTCCTCCAAGCAGTCCGCCCACCCGCCGGGCTTCCCCTCTGCCGCGAGGCTCGGGGCCAGGCGCGAGCGCCCGCGAGTTAAAAGGAAGCTGAAAGTTGCTGGGAAGTTGCTCGGGTGCTGGGAGCAGGCTTTTAAAGTTCCGCCCGAGCAAAGTTTAAGCAGCCCGCCCACCCGCCAGACGGAACCCTTCCTGCTCCTCGGTGGGAAGACGCTCCAGCCTGCAAACTTTGCCTTTGCAAAGCCCTGGAAGCCCCGGAAAACCGAGCAACTTCCCAGCAACTTTCCGCTTCGTTTTAACTCGTGGGCGCTCGCGCCTCGCCCCGAGCCGCACGGCGGAGGGGAAGCCCAGAGCGTCGCCGGGTCGCCTCCTCCAAGCAGCCCACCTGCCTGCCCGCCCACCGGGCTTCCCCTCCGCCGCGCAGCTTGGGGTCAGGCGCGAGCGCCCACGAGTTAAAACGAAGCGGAAAGTTGCTGGGAAGTTGCTCGGGTGCTGGGAGCAGGCTTTTAAAGTGCCGCCGAGCCGGGAAACGGGGCACCAAGGCAGGGCAAGGCTCCACCAGCAGCGGCCTAGCTTTAGGTGGCTCCAAGCAGCCCGCCCCGCCCGCCGGGTGGAACCCTTCCCGCTCCTCGGGAAGACACTCCAGCCTGCAAGCTTTGCCTTTGCAAAGTTTAAGCCTGGAAGCCCCGGAAAAAAGGGGGGATCGGTGGGGACTCACCTTCGGAGAGGTCGCACTCGAAGGTGATTTCGAACTCCCAGCCGAGGCCTTTGCAAATTTCTTTTCTTTCCTACCCCTAGATCGCTCCGCACTGTTTTGCAGCTTTGGGGGCCACGCGGCACAGGGCAATACGCCACGCCCAACGATTTTTTTTCAGGGGTGGGCCGGGTTGGACAGACCAATGGCAGTGATTTTTTTTCAGGGGCGGGCCGCATTGGACAGACCAACGGGCCGGATGTGGCCCGCGGGCCGTAGTTTGCCCACCCCTGGTCTATAGTGATCTAAAACAGGGTTCTCCAAGTTTGGCAACTTTAAGGCTTAGAGCAGGGGTGTCCAACCTTTCACCTTCCCTGGGCCACATTAGAAGATGAAAATTTGGTTTGGGCCGCACATAATTAAATTAAATAATTAAATTAAATTAAATTAAATTAAATTAAATTAAATAATAAAATAAAATAAAATTATTATTTATTATTTATTATTAATTATTTATTAAAAATTACTTATTTTTTATTTTATAATTTTCCGGCCAAATTTTGCGGGGTGGGGGGGAGGGGGGGAAAGAAAGCTCGCCTGCCTCGCGCCTACCTCTCCTGCAAATTATTTATTTTTTATTAATTTTCCGGCCAAATTTTGCGGGGAGGGGGGGAAGAAAGCTCGCCCGCCTCACGCCTACCTCTCCTCCTGCAAATGCAGCAGCGGCGGCAGCGGTGGCGGGGGCAGAAGCAGCAGCGGCAGCAGCGGCGACAGGGGCAGAAGCAGCAGTGGTGGCAGCGGCGGCGGCAACAGCAGGAGGTGGCGGGGCGGGACTTTTGGGCCGCGGCTGCCCGCCTTTTCTGTTGCTCGCCTCGCCCCGCCTCGCGCCTACCTCTCCTCCTGCAAATGCAGCAGCGGCGGCGGCGGTGGCGGGGGGGCAGAAGCAGCGGCGGCGGCAGCGGCGGTGGGGGCAGAAGCAGCAGCAGTGGCGGCGGTGGCGGCAACAGCAGGAGGTGGCGGGGCGGGACTTTTCTGTTGCTCGCCTCGCCCCGCCTCACGCCTACCTCTCCTCCTGCAAATGCAGCAGCGGTGGCGGCGGCAGCAACAGCAGGAGGTGGCGGCGGCAGCGGCGGTGGGGGCAGAAGCAGCAGCAGCGGCGGCGGCGGCGGCAACAGCAGGAGGTGGCGGGGCGGGACTTTTCTGTTGCTCGCCTCGCCCCGCCTCGCGCCTACCTCTCCTCCTGCAAATGCAGCAGCGGTGGCGGCGGCAGCAACAGCAGGAGGTGGCGGGGCGGGACTTTTCTGTTGCTCGCCTCGCCCCGCCTCGCGCCTGCCTCTCCTCCTTGCTGGATCTTTCATGAAGGTTGGGGTGGGCATTGGGCCGCATTACGAGGCGACCTGGGCCGCATGCGGCCCATGGGCCGCAGGTTGGACAAGCCTGGCTTAGAGCATAGAATAACAAGAGTTGGAAAGGACCTCGGAGATCTTCCAGTCCAACACCAGGAAAACCTACATCATTTCAGACAAATGGTTGTCCAGCCTTTTTTTTTTTTTGAAAGCCTTCAGTGATGGAGCACCCACAACTTCTGAAGTCAAGCCATTCCATCAGCTAATTGCTCTCAACGTTTGGAAGTTTCTCCTTAGTTCTAGGTTGCTTTTCTCCTTGGTCAGTTTCCAACCATTGTTTCTTAACTTGCCTTTTGGTGCTTTGGAAAATAGTTTAACCCCTTCGTATTTGTAGGAGCACCTCAAATATTGGAACAGTACTATCTTGCCACCCCTAGCCCTTCTTTTCATCAGACTAGATATACCCAATTTCTGTAGCTGTTTTTCGTACATTTCAGTCTCCAGCCCCCTAATCATTTTTATTGCTCTTCTCTGCACTCAGTCTCAACATCTTTGTACTGTGGCGACCAGAACTTGATGCAGTATTCCCAACTGTGGTCTTACTAAGGCTTTGTAAAGCAGTACTAGGATTTTACATGATCTCGATTCTATCCCTCTATTAATGCAGCTTAGGATTGCATTGGCTTTTTTTGGCTGCTAATGTCACATACTGTTGACTCATATTTAAGTGATCGTCCACTAGGACTCCACCTGTGGACTTCATCTCCCATACTGGCTGGGGAAATTTGGGAGTCAAAGTCCACAAGTCTTAAAATTGCCAAGTTTGGAGACTCTGCTCTAAAATCTCAGAACTGCACAGTTTTGTTTGAAATGAGATAGACTATAAATACAATGTTTTGGAGTAGTCTTTTTGTGAACACTGACTAATTTCCACCACTTTGGGCCTCTGCATTTCAATTACTTTATGATGATGACTTTCAGAACCCCTAGCCAGCAAGGCTATCCAAAAAATAGTAGTCCAGGGAAAGTGACTGAAAGTGAGAAGTATTTTCTTGGAGGACAAAATCGCCTTTCCAGTATATCTTACCGTAGTAATTGATGGGTTGCCTTTTTGCAATAACTCATCTTCCTCATCAATTTGACACTATAAAACATTGTACTACAAGCAACCCTTTTTATGTATAAGGTACAGTAAGTTTTTCTGGTGGCTGCTGCCTACTTTGTTCTCATCACTAGGCTGTAAACCTTTTCAGGCAGGGGCCTATGACCACTTCTTGGTGAAGGGTCACTGACAGGGCTAATGCCTATGATTACATTTGGATGACACATTAATTATACAGTCTGTGATTAGATGTGAATGTGCCTGATCAAGCCATCTGTCTACCTGTGTCCTACCCCCTTTGAGGTTATGCAACTCAGCATTATCTGCTACTGGCTTACTGAAGAATTACTGGGTACTTTGCTTTCAACTCTTGCTAACTATGGAAGGAACTTAAAATGATAGGTTACGCTAGCATCACACTGACGTTACTATTAGAAAAAACCCAAAGCACTAAAACAGGAGCAATTAAGACAACTCATTTTGTCTTAGCCACTTATCATTAAAAACTAAAAACACAGCCGTTAAGAACAAGAAAATTAATAACTTTCGAAATGTTTAAAGGATCTAAAAGAAAATAAGCAGAGAGGTAAATTACCTCTTAGGAAAGAATTCCATAAACATGGTTCCACCTTTGATAAGTTCCTGTCCATGCCTGCCTGCTTGGCTATCCAGGCCACCGGGCTTATGAGCAGCAGCCCTTCTACAGCTCTACAAAATACACAGCCAGATGAAAATTGCTATTTATCAAATGAATGTTAAGCTGGTATGATTTTTTTAAAATTCCCTCTACCCAAAGTGTTTTCTACTGCATCAGCTTCTCTTGGGTTTTTTGTTTGTTTGTTTGCTTGTTTGTTTCAGAGCAGGAAGGCATATTTCCAGATAAAAAGCGAGTGGCAGGTTCACACATGCTCACAGCTCCATTTGTGTGAGTGGCACATGCCTGCACTCTCATGCAAATGGAGCTTTGTGTCAGTCTTGGAAGCCATATCTTGCTTGGAAGCTTTGAGGCTGCCACATTTAGTGCCTGGGAATTTGGGGAGGGGGGATTTCTTAGGCTCAACAACATTCTTTCTCAGAAGTCAAGGACATGTTAACCTGCACCTGGAGAGGAGTGTCTGGAGGAATGTCTCCAGTTGGGATGACTTTTGATTGGGGCATGTGATGGACTGATAGGTGCAGGGGATTGATCTTTGAATTTCTTTTGAGGAAGGGAAAATCTGGAACTCTCAGATTTGGGTTTTCCCAGAGGTGCCAATATGAAAACTCTAATAAAATGGAACTTTGAGGAAATGCTTGCCTTAGAGTTTATTGGGTTGGAATTTGTTTGTCGGAACGCTGACACTTCATGCACGAGTGGAGGGTAATTGTGCTCATGTACAAAGCTCTACTCATGTGAGTGGAGGGCGCTTGAGCAGAGGGTGCTTGTGCATGCCTTAATCAAGCGCTGAAACCATCCAGTGCAACAAATCCCTTTCTGATTCACAAGCTCTGAAAAAGAAAGTCCCTTTTCTCCCTCCTTTCTTCTTCTATGGAGAGAAATCTATTTGACTCCCCAACTTGGAAGGAGCCCTGATCTTAAAATCATAGCATGGAATTGTCTGGAAGAGGCCATTTTAAAACCGAGGCTCTCCAATCTGCAGCCATGGGCTGTGTGCAATCCTCTGGATCTTTTTCTGCAGCCTGCAGCAACAGCTTTTGTAGGAGCTGAAGACACCACCCAACAAGATCAAGCTGAGCGCTGCACCAACATGTAGTCTTGAAACACTCAGAGCAGCCTCACCGCTTTCCTCAACTAAGCCAAGCAGACTTCCTGAAGCAGTTTGGATTTATTAGCCAAGCCACAAACCTGGTGCCCCAATTTCACCCCCATCCAGCAGTGCTAGCCTTTGTAAACTTCTTCCCCCCTCTCATCCTCTGGTGGGCACTGATTTGGAGGCAGGGCTGAAGGCTTTCTGAATGCCTGGGTGAGCAGCAGAGGGGATTACTTGACCAGGAAAGATGGGCTAGAACAGGGGTGTCCAACCTGGGCAACTTTAAGACTTGTGGACTTCAACTCCCAGAATTCCTCAGCCAGCAAAGCTGGCTGAGGAATTCTAGGAGTTGAAGTCCA